CTCCTAGTAGAACAAAGCTTTCTTCTGGATACCTCTTGAAGAACCTGCCTGAGGCTGTTACACTTAACTTTTTTAAAACAAGCAAAAGGAAGACACTGTAAAATAACAAGAATAGAATAGTACAATAGATACATAAACCAGCAACAGTCAGATATTATCAAGCATTATGAACTGTACAGTTGCATATGTTGTATACTTTTATAGGACTGGCAGGCTGCACAGTAGGTCTGTTTACACCAGCATCACCACAAAACAGAAGCAAAGCCTTGCATTATAATGTTACAACGGCTACTAAGTCAATAGGAGACAGGAATCTTTCAGCTATGTTTTAAACTTAGGGGACTACTGTCACATTTATGGTCTTTCACTGACCAAAACATCACTATCAACACACGACTACATAAACGTACACATAAGTATGCACATATATATACACATGTATTCATAAATACATATATAATCTACAAATGTATATATATAAAGGTATTACTCTCTAAAGTTTAGACAATGACCCTGCAATATTTTTATGGTGAGAAAGAGCATCAAACTATTTACATATTGCAGAAGAGTACAAGAAATGATCTTTGTTCTCAAAAAATGTATGATCTGACTGGCAGACTAGAAAATGCATGAAATAATGTGAACAATGAAAAACAACTGTGTAGCTGGATAGGGCCCTGAGACAAGAACACAAGGTCCAGGGCAGCCAAGATCCCAGGTCATGTGCTTTGCTAGAGGTAGTAGCAGGATCATAACTCCAGTTTTCTAATTGTGAACTCTGTACTCTCTCTCTGGTCTTAAAATTCCCTTCGCTGATTTTTACACACAAGTCTACACATTACTGACACATGGGCAGCAAGAATGGACAGGAAGGATGCCACAGAGACTCACTCAAACACAGGGATGGAGAAGGTTCTGGTCAGGAGAGCAGCTTGCCTCTGTGGGAACAGAATAGGAATATCTTGCAGGACAAAGAGCATCTCAAATGCACAACAGCCTGTTCTGGCCACACCCTCAGATCACACTCCACTGTGCTGGCTAGTCTAAAAGATAATGCTGCCAGGCATGGTGGCTCACACCTTTAATCCCAGCACTCTGGGAGGCGGAGGCTGGTGGATCACGAGGTGAGGAGATTGAGGCCATCCTGGTCAACATGGCGAAATCCCGTCTCTACTAAAATACAAAAAAAAGAATTAGCCAGGCATGGTAGCATGTGCCTGTAGTCCTAGCTACTCAGGGGGCTGAGGCAGGGGAATCGCTTGAACCTGGAAGGCAGAGGTTGGAGTGAGCCGAGGTCATGTCACTGCACTCCGCTCCAGCCAGGCAACAGAGCAAGACTGCCTCTCAAAAAACAAAAACAAAAACAAGAGAATGCCAGGCCGCAGAAGAACCCTGGTATCACGTGGCTGGATCTGCCCATACTCGGAAAGACACACCACAGGAACGATTTACTGGGTGGTCCGAGGGATCTGAGAGCCAGATGCACATGGACTGTGCTCAGGTTACTTAACTTTTCTGAGCCTCAGTTTCCTCACATGTAAAACAAGAATTGTAATTGTCGTGTTACTGTGAGAGTGAAGGAACAAATGCAAAGACCTCAGCTCACTCCCTGGTGTGCTAGACACTCAGTGGACACTATTATTGTTAGACAAAAAAATGAATAAAGAATAACATCTTCTGGGTCCTAAACACATTGTACAGCAGTTTCTATCAACATTCACATGAATATGAATATATTAATACGATAAGGTCACTCTGCCTCCACGACCACCACGTACTGAGCAGTAACTACTCAGAGACCAGCCCTGATCCACTTTCCATACGCCAACTCATGTGATCCCCTCATCTACGCTGGGAGGTGGGCACCGTTGTTATTCCCATTTTATAGGTGAGAAAACTGAGGCACAGAGAGGTGAAGCCCAAGGCCCACAAACAGCAACAGAGGAGATGGGTTAAAACGCTGCCACCCGGCTTGACAGCCCTACTTCCTAACTACCACATACACTACCTCTGCACTACTGATGTCCCATGACACCCTTCCTGCGGCTACCTGAGGGGTCTCCTCTCTGTCCTGGGAGCCAAGTGACCTCTCCAACTCTGTTCACTCTTGTCTCACCTAGAAAAGGTGGTCTCCTCATTCCCACTACACAAAAATGAAAACGGTCTACATCAGCTTTCAAGAGAGCGATACAAGCAAAGAATATGATTCACAAAGTGAAGAGAGAAAAAACTAAAAACTATGCATTGGAGAAGCTGGGGAAAGGGTGGTGTTATGAGGATTCTCAGGGGTGAAAAGAAAAAGTATTTCCGCAAAGGCTAGCAAAGGAGACAAGGCTGAGTGAAGGAGGCAGGGATTTTTCCCAGGTGTGCACGTCGGTTCTGTCCCTAGTGATACAGAGACTTGTGGTATCTTGTCAAATTAGTCACGCAATGGATTGAGATTTAGTGAACAAAATGTGTTAATTAAAAAAGAACCACTAGACATGGACGGGGAGGGCGGGAGGTCCTCCCTACAGAATCCACCACTCATGAGCGCGGACCAGCGCCTCCAAGGGAAAAGGACTTGGGCTCCATCCTGGCTGAAGACGGTCCCGGTGAAGAACCTCAGTCAGCGGGGAAAATCCACCCACGAGGATCTGGAAAGACAATGAGCTCACCTGGGGCCTCGCTTCCCGCCGCCCCGCAGCCATGTCCTCTCCGGGCTCTCCCCTGAGGACGGTGCAGTCTCCAGCAGGCAGATCTGAGAAGGAAAA